CCGGTGTTCGTTCGCCGATACTGTACCGGATCGCCTGATGGTCACTATGGGTGTACTCCTCGCACACTGTCCAGTTCATATTTGCCATTAGCGATGTACTGCAGAAAGTAACGTCGATAATGGATTCCCTACCATCTTTGCGGAAGGTGCTGATGGTTCCTTCGTTGGCCAGACTGACGTTCAACTTTGCCAGAGCTTCCAGCAGGCTATACCCTCTTGCGTTGGTACATCTGCTCCCCCAATCCACTGCCCAAGCATTGAAGTCTCCTGCGATGACGACTGGTCTCCGTCCAATGAGCTCTTCGGTGAGCCCATCTAGCATCTGGTGGAACTGCTCAATTGTCCATCTCGGGGGTGCGTAGCAACTACATACAAAGATTCCATTGATTTTGGCGATCACGAAACCTTCATATGAGCTTGCCACCACTTGTTGTATGGGATACCTGCCCATGACTTGTATGGCCGCCATTCCTGCTCTATCCGCCACCCAGTTACCATTATCGAGAGGGACTCGGTATGGCTCTGCAATGATTGCAACGTCGCACTTTGTTTCCGTTGTTGACTGCCACAACAGTTGCTGTGCTGTGTTACAATGATTGAGATTTATTTGGGTTACCTTCATTATTGCTGGCCCACCATCGCCTTCTTGAACTCAGGGCACCTGAAACTTCCCGTCACATGGCCATTTCCGTCCTCCTTTTTGCAGAGCATGCACCTCGGTTGCTTTGTACAGTCTTTTGCAACGTGCCCCTTCTCTCCGCATTTCCTGCACAGATCAGATCTGTCAGGGCCTTTGCAGTGTCTCGCCTGGTGACCGAAGCCCATGCATTTGTAGCATCTCTCCATTTTCTTAGATACCCGAGGAATAGCTTTCAACGGGCACACTGACCACCCAACCTTGATTCGGCCAGTCTTCAGCAGCTCGTTAGCTGCGTCCGAAGAAAGTCGTATCAACGCCGTCTGCGTGCCACCATACGCCTTTCTCAACCGAATTGCCATCGGTACGTCTCCCAGGTTGCATTGCACCTTCAGCGCACTTTTCAACTCGTCTTCTGTTGTGATCTCGTCCAGATCCCTGCACTCGACCACTGACTCCTGGGATAAGGCTCTTACGTTCGCCGTCTCGCCAAGAGATTTTTCGACGAGCTCCTTAAAAGCTGAGCTCTTAACCGTAGGGTCCCTTTTCAGCTCGAATAGCATCTCGCCTTTCTGGGTTCGCCTGGTTTTCACCACATTCTCGCCTAGTTGTTTCAACTCCGGATCGTCTCTCACTTTCCGGAGGAGTGCTGCGTAGGACGTTTTGTCCTTCGACTCAACAACCAGAGCGTCACCCTTGCTTCTCTCCCTACGAGGCCTAGGCTTCTCCTTATTCTTCCTGTCTTCCTTCTTCTTCTCTTCCTTCTTCCTCGCTTCTTCTTCCTTCCTCCTCGCTTCCTCTTCCTTCTTCCTCACTTCATCTTCCTTCTGTTTTTTCTTCCTCTCCTTCTGGTTCTCGACTTTACGCCACGCACCATTTTCTCCCATCTCCTTGATGCCTTCCTCGTCGTCCCTGCGTTTTTTGGGCTCCTCCTCATCTCCTGGCGTGTCCCTATCTCTCTTTTCAGGACGTGGATTTGTGGGTCCCTTCGGAGTCTCATGTGCTTGAGCCAGTCTTATGCTCTCCTTGGCCTCCAGCAGAGCCTTTTCGGCATTTTCGGCCCTTTTTCTCCACTCTTGACATTCCCGATCTGCCACTGTTATGCCGGATTTGATACCGGTCACAAGTTGCTTGATCTCTTTGTGTACGTTGTTTTTATCCTTCACGAACACATAGAGATCATCGATCTTCCTCCTGACCTCCGTCATTTTGGTTCTCCCGAGCTGCAGTTCTTGGGATTTGCTACTACTGGATATTGGTGTGAATATCTGGCTTAGCCCAACGCCTGGCTGCTCTTCTTGAAACTTACTGCTGCTGCTGGAACTCGCAGTGACCCCCAGGTTCGACACTGGTGATCTCTGCAATATCCCACTCCTTGCGAACACGTTTGCTCCTCCGTTTTCACTGTCTGGCGTATTGCCGTCGTTCTTCATATTTTTTTTGGTTTTTTCTTTTTCTTCATTTTTATTTTTTTCTCCAATTTTGTGTGTGTGTGTGTGTGTGTGTGTGTGTGTGTGTGTGTGTGTGTGTGTGTGTGTGTGTGTGTGTGTGTGTGTGTGTGTGTGTGTGTGTGTGTGTGTGTGTGTGTGTGTGTGTGTGTGTGTGTGTGTGTGTGTGTGTGTGTGTGTGTGTGCGTGTGCGTGTGCGTGTGTGTGTTTGTGTGTGTGTGTGTGTGTGTGTGTGTGTGTGTGTGTGTGTGTGTGTGTGTGTGTGTGTGTGTGTGTGTGTGTTTGTGTGTGTGTGTGTGTGTGTGTGTGTGTGTGTGTGTGTGTGTGTGTGTGTGTGTGTGTGTGTGTGTGTGTGTGTGTGTGTGTGTGTGTGTGTGTGTGTGTGTGTGTGTGTGTGCGTGTGCGTGTGTGTGTTTGTGTGTGTGTGTGTGTGTGTGTGTGTGTGTGTGTGTGTGTGTGTGTGTATTCAATCCAACCCCCGCTGGCCGGCAGTGGTATTATGGAAGAAATTTGCTTACAACATTCCTTGATGTAATAATTTAAAGCAAGTTTAGTCCGGGAGTTAGAAAGCGATAGCTCTACTGCAAATTCAGCAACCCATTTCAGAATGCCTGGTAATTCACGTCCATTCCGAGGTTACTTTCACATACAATAAGCCCCGCATGTAAACACTACCGTTATCATATGAATAATGGTACTGCAAACACACTTCCACATTTCGAAATGTGATGTTTCGAAATCTGGCGCGTATTTAGTAATATATGGAAATATGCATTTATGATTGATTATAAATCAGATGGATCTCACCAAATTCTGCCTCCGAAAAAGGACCGGTTTGTTCACTCGCGGTAATCGAAAAAATCTTCCGCGTTGTTTTTACAACCCAACACGACATTTTGAATCACATTCGAAGTTTTTCATTTGCACCGAATTTTTGCTTGACACCTCATTCGCGTGCATCCTCCGGAAGGCACAACGTCAGCACCAAGAAAAGAAAAAAAATACCCGGTAAAACTCTTCTTGGGAGGGAGGCAAAGCACCAAAAACAAGCGAAATGAAAAACCGACCGACCCGACATCACAGCACCACAGCTACTCGAAACAAATTCTTGTCCCAGATTTTTCACGTTAATTTCCAATATCACTAAAAAAACTTCTTAAGACGTGATAGATCTTAATTTACACTTATCCACACGCGAAAACTAATATTTGATTTGGTACAATTAAAAAATATGCGCAAAACAGATGAAATCAGCGCCAGCGAAAACAAAACCAACCGTTCACGGGCAGAGCCTACTGCGTTTTTTTTCGTCAAAAAGCTTACCTAAATTTGAGCTAAGTTATACCATAAATCGCAATAAATGCAGGAACTCAGCCATGAGTAAATTTGCCGCATCTTTTCCAGGTAAAATATCCCGAACATGAGAAAAGTAAAGGTTGGATTCTCTCAGTCTTTTGGTACTACTCCTAGACTGAGTAAAATTTTCGTCAATTTTCCTCATTTTACAGCAGATTTTTCAAGTTTTCCACAGGAAATCATGAGGCAAATTTATTTATCACTGAGTTTCTGCATTTTTTGCGATTGTGAATAAGCTAAACTCAAATTTAGGTTGATCTCATTGGCCGTGTAGTGAAATGATACGAAAACTAGGTCAGCAATCCAGCAAAATATTCACGGTGTAGGGAAATCATTAAAAACCATTGTCAGGCTAAGGTACAAACTTTTCTAATAGAAACTTTTCATACTAAAAAACTTCCCAACCAAGTCAGGATAAGAACGGGTTGTCCTGCGCTGCACGAAAAGTCGTATCCATTACACTCGGTCCGGTCCATAGCTGCACGTCGCCAGCCACGCTTCTGCAGGGGTCCACAGGTCGCCTTCCACCTGGACGATCCACCCTGCGCGCCTTTTCCGTCTCGTTCTAGTCGGTTCGTTATCGAGAACTTTTTTCATCGGGTTGTCGTTTGACATTCTTACGACGTACTCAGCCTACCGTAGTTGCCAGATTTTTGCGGTGTGGACGATGACTGGTTCTCCCAGTTCGTGCTTCATTAGCCTCCTTTTCCATACCTTTTGCCCCATCCAACAACGTTCTTGCGGTCCTACGACGTTGTTGAAGTTCATCCTATATTAACCTGTCGTAATCCGGGCAGTTTCATGTTCCGAATTTCCAATCTTAGTCCTACTTTTTCGTTATTTAAAACTTTTTAATTTGTCCAGGGCGGCTTGTTGGAACTGCCCTAACCTGTCTTACCGTGGAACCATTGTGTACAGCTTTGCTTAGAGTCCCACGCTGGCACTAGGACAGTGTTCAGCCGCTCTTGGGTAAGCATTTCCTCTTTCGTCGTATTATGATTACCGCGCCAGTGTTCGCGTCGCACCTCCTCCCTAGAGGATCACCAGTCTAAGTAGCGTAGTAGACTTCATTCGACTGGAGCGTCTTTTGGGGTCCAAAGTAAATACGATTCATTGTCACAATGCGTCTACGAATTTCTCTGCGGGTGTCATTATCGGCAATTACACACAAGTAAAATCTGCTTAGCTTCAGATTGGTGTACGTTTCCCCCATCGTCCCAAATTTCTCTGCCATAATGTCGATGTCAAAGGTGAAGCCAAGAAGCTGGCCGGACTTCCTGAAGCTTGTGTCACTCGTATGTATTTCCGCTCTTCACACATAACTCGATCCATCGTCGCCTTTACCAATAGCGACAGTTTATTCAGAAATCCGTATTCGATATTCCTGCTGTGCCTGTTAATCGATACTCCGCTGAGCGTGCTTCCAAACAATCGCTGGTAGAGTCGTTAAGAACCAAGGAAGATTACACAAAAAAAAAACTGGTATAAAGAACACTTGAATGAAGAAGACTCTCAAGAAAAGTTCAAAAGACTTCCAGAACGAGCTCAAAAGTTTGGCTGCCTTGAAGGCGATTTTAGATCATCTCGTTTTTATTCGGGCTCGCACTTGTTCGTTTGTCTTCAGATCTATCAATCGCAGTTATCCATGACTTGAAATTTTCATTCGATTTGTCAATTCTGTTTGAGAAACTGTTCGGATACGGATCGCGTTTTTGTCCTCTTTCAGTCTCATTCGGTTCGATCGACCCGGTTTATCTTGGAAATCACGTTTACCACTGCATAAAAATATCAAATTTACGGGAGAAAATTTGAAAAACTTTCCAATAAAATTACCGCAAATCAACTGAAGACAACGAAATGTCCACCGTTCAAAAATGCCATGCCGAGGGTTTGCTGCAGCCACTACGAAGATCATCCCTACTGGCCGTGCGGCAACAACTGGTCGAGAAGATTCCCGATCATCACGCATTGAAATCGCGCGGTTACCTCCTGGGGCGTCGCATTGCAAAGGGGACCTTTGCAACGGTAATGCGAGCAAAGTTCTACGATCCAAAACAAGACAACGATGGCTCGCAGACTCCGTTGGAACTGGCCTGCAAAATCATCGATGAGAGCAAATCGAAGGATGAAGATTTTCTAAAGAAGTTTCTACCGAGGGAATTGCAAATCCTTGAACGGATCGATCATCCCAACATCATCCAGACACACAGCATCCTGCGAAGAGGATGCCGGGTGTTCATTTTCATGCGACTTGCCGAGCGAGGAGACTTGCTGAGCTTCATCCGGAAATATGGCGCCCTTTCGGAAGAGCGAAGTCGCTTCTGGTTCTACCAAATGGCAGATGCCATCCGGTACCTCCATCGGTTGAATATTGCCCACCGGGATCTCAAATGTGAGAACGTGCTCATTTCGAAGAACATGAACATCAAGCTGTCGGACTTTGGATTCGCTCGCACCTGCATCGATGAAACCGGGGTGGCCTTGATGTCAAAGACTTTCTGGGGATCAGCCGCGTATGCAGCACCGGAGATCGTCAGTGGGAAAGCGTACATCCCAAAATCGGCGGATCTCTGGTCTCTGGGAGTGGTGCTGTTCATCATGCTCAACGGGACGATGCCGTTCGATGAGAAGAACCTGAAAAAGCTGATCAAATGTCAACTGGCGAGGCAGTTTACCTTCCGGCCCCAAGTGGAAAAAGCCATTTCATTGGATGCGATACAGATGGTGCGCTACTTGCTCGAACCGGATCCGATCGATCGGATCAACATCGATGAAGTCATGCAGGAACGGTGGGAGGAAAAGTTGGTTTTTGATGACAATAAAAGTTAAAACGAAATTAAGCGAAAATTTTGGTTTTTCATTTTTATGCTAAGAGTCTTAGGTTGTGCTGTTTCTGGTTCTGCTGCTTTGTCCGTTTGCCAAATAAATTTTACTCCCTACATCTTTATAATGACATTTATTACGGGTGTCACTTCATGGTGAAAACGAAGTGAAGTGACCAGTTGTCATTCACGGTGAAGTGATTGCCGTGTAAATCAAATGGGAATCACTTCTCCGTGAAGTGACATCGGTAATAAGGGCCAACAGTATCAAGCGTTCTAATTTCATTTCCTTTTCTTCCGACAGAATCCGTGAGGTGGCGGACAAAATCAACAAGTACGGTGTCCAAACACTCCCGGCGCTCCAGTCGCTCAAAGTTCCAGTCAAACAAATTGTGGTCGGACCGGCCCATCTGGGCGTCCTGCTCGAAGATGGTCGTGCGTTTCGCGTAGCTTTCTCGATCATTCCGGAGCGGTTGGATCTGAGCAAACAGGACGCAAACAAGACCAGTGGCAATGCTGGCAGTGCGGCCAGTCAGTCGAACAACAACTCGAAAAATTCACCCGCCTCGAGACAGTGTCGCTCGCGGGCTCGAATCATGCGCACCAGCAGTTCGGTTCGCGGTGGCAGCAGTTCACAGGGATCCGGTTCGCGCAGTACCGGTGTGATTATGGGAGGAGGATCCTCCGGCAGTCGATCGCTGGTATCGGTGCCGGCTCCCTTCGTTCCGGAGGAATTGGTGACGCAAGCACAGGTCGTGCTGCAAGGCAAAAGTCGAAATTTGATCATCAGAGAACTGCAACGTACCAATCTTGACGTAAACCTAGCGGTCAATAATTTACTCTCACGTGACGACGAAGGCGGTGACGACACGGAGGAGGGCAGTGATAATTACGTGGCGGAAGATTTGATTTCGCTGCTGGACGGAGGTTTTCACGCAGACAACAGTGTGATCATTGATGCGGAGGCGATGTTCTCGGAGGATATGTTCGGGTTTTCCAACATCCGGAAGTAAGTACAAACAAGATGATGAGCTCCTCTCTGCTGTCTATTGGTAGATGATAAAAGGATATTGTTTTAGTTATTGTCTATCCTGAGCTATCCGTCTTTATCTATTATTTATTTGTTTTGTTTATTAGTTGTAGTTAACCTATTCACCGTTTCGGTTCCCGGTTATCATCTACAAGCGATAGCGCTTTTTTTTTTAGTTTCGCGAGAGGACGATTGATGATACCTGAATACAAACTGTGTACATATGTTATAGATTTTGTTTAGATAAGTAAGCGGTATAACCATTAACATTACTGTATTACGGGAGTTAAGCATTGGGTATGCTAGACTGTTCATAATCGCAAACGGCGTTTTTTATTAAAAAAGTTGATGATAGTAATTAGGCTTTTAGTTGTAACATCATCCAATTTCATTAGCCAAAAAGACGGTTTCTTGACTTTTGATGTTCGAATATTTTCTTAAAATGTCTTTTGAATCCCAGAACTTCCTCTCTGAATTACTATTAATAGATGTGCTCTGCACTTTTTGTAACATCCCTTCAAACTCTCACTGGAAATTTCCCGAACTTCATATTCTTTTAAAAGTAATTTTACCTTTCCTAGAAGTCACACTGGTTAATAGTGTTGCTGTTCTATGTTCTCCAGTTTGAAGCTGATTAGCGACTATGGACAGTTATTTAGGGTATCATCAATCTCAAAACGGGTGCTCTGCAGCAGGAGGTAGCATTTGTTAGACGGTTTCTTTTCTACCTACTCCATTACGTTCAGTTTGGTTTCAAGTTTAAGGTCTCCCGGATGTTGGTTTCGTTTTGCCTTTGAATCAAATAACTACTGTGGTGAACAAACTGCCAATTTTAAGATATTTGTTTGACATGTACAGAGCTCTTCTAGCTCAGGGTTTCTTGTAACCTTTTCTAAGCAATAGACAGACTTCTCTGACGTTTATGAATTGCACAAGTCCAGAGAACTTCGTCATCAAAGCGAGTGTCATGTCAACACAATCCTTCCCATTCCTTTCTTGACCTGTGTTCGGGCGCGGCCGGCGCTGGTATTGCCTAATTTAAGATCACCAGTTTTTACACATTGAGGATGATTGCTAGTCCCAAGCATCGTCTATTGGTTCTCTGTGTAATTACAGCTGATCTGGCAATAACAGAGTAGCAACCGTGGGCGGTCAATCAAGCTCAAGCTGCACAAGTCCAGAGAACTTCGAGATTAGGACGTAATTGCTTTTGTAAACAAAGGCTTCATTTGACGATTTCTCGCGAATTAAAGCTCAATCTAAAAAACTAACAACATAAACAGGTAGATGAATGATTCCTCTATCATTTGATATCGATATTGTGCTTTTATTCGCGAGAAATCAGCGATTGACGTGTTTGTTTACAAAAGCAATTACGCCCAAATCTCAAAGTTCTCCGGAAGTATTAGTGCAGAACTTAGGGGCTGTCCATAAACTACGTAGACATTTTAGGGGGGTAGGGGGGGTTGACAATTTTCCACGGTCCATACAAATTTTAAAAATTTTGTATGGGCGATTGTCTACGCAGGGGGAGGGGGGGGGGGGTCAATAAACCCAAAAAACTGTCTACGTAGTTTATGAACAGGCCCTTAGGGTAAACACAAAGGTTTTCTTGCACTAAACTTATAATTTACACCAAGTTCTGCACTAATACTTGTGCATTTCACAAACGTCAGAGAAGTCTATGTTGTGTGTGTGTTTATTATAGAGATTTTAAGCCGCAAGCTGGATCATCCCTCAGCCAGTGATGCCACATATACAGATTTATCTGTAATGATACAGATTTTTTTTCAATATTTTGATACAGATATATGCAGATTACAGATTTTTGAAAAATAGACAGATTTTTCAAATAAATGCATAAATAAATTACATATATTTTTTTTATATTTATTATTTACGATAAATAATCATTTTTTCCCTTCTAAGCAACTTGAATTCAATCTGATCATCAAATCCAAATCGATTTTTCACTAAATGAGTATTATTATTTTAGCTGCGAATTGCCTTGGAATCTTTCGAATGGACTTCTGATGTTCAGATGTTCTGATTTCTCGTTATAAGGGATTTTAGTTTCCCTTTCTATTTGTTTAATTAATCATATCACATGGCTACAGATATGAAGGTTAATTAAATATATTTTTCGTCAAATCGATAAACAAGCCATTTTAGAAAACCAACAAAGGGGTTGATTAAAGTTTGTGAGTCGAAGAGTCAACTTGATATTTTTATATTTGAAAAGCATACTTATAGAAATAAAGATTATTGCATGCCATTCGACTAAACGTCCAGTAAAAGTTCTGTGTTATGTCCAATGTCCAGATAAAGGTTTTCGTAATCTCAGACAAAAAAAATCAAATTCTATGGATTTTTGATAGGGGAAATGTTTGCTTCAGCAATACCTTAACCTCGTCAGGGGGGTAAACAAGGTCCTTGAGAGCTTGATTTTGGCATGTGGATACATTGTGTTTTAGAGCATCTATTGGCCAAATTTGAGTGCTCTAGGACTTTGTTTACCCCGCTGACGATAATACGTTAAGGTATTGCCGAAGCCGACATTTCCCTTGGTTAATTCATTACGGAAATTTTCAGCCGAAAACAGATTTGTCTCTCATAACTGGTACTTGATGTTTTGTATTTTCAGACTGTAGAAGAGATACAAAACACATCAAGATTGTAGGATTTCAAGATTTTTAAAATAGACAAATTCTTTAGGAAGCAAACTTCATTAAAATGCTACGAAATTCTATAAATTTTGCCGCACTTGTACGTTTCGCGATGATTTTTAGCGAAGTTTCACGAACGAAATTTCTTGAATTTGTACGTAATTTCCACAACTATTCCAAGTCCACTAGGCTTCAAAAAAGTTCCCTAAGAGATTCCTGATAAATAATGAGCTTCCATGAAATAAAATAATGTTCCTTTAACTTCTACAAATTTTCCACTTCTACGCAGTTTTCAGAACTTTTCCAAGTTCCTTCTTTCATCGAATTTTTCTGAAGATCTATGATGTTCCCATAATTATTACTAAATTTCCTCAATGTCTACAATGTTGCCTGAACTTTTTAGAAGTCCTTGAAGTTTTACGAAGTTAAAGAAAAATCCCTGGAGTCATGGCCAATTTGCAGTGCTTGAAGACGTTTTATTTTACCATCGATCAAATATCGATATAATATAGATTCTCAAAATGGTTTCTTCTAGTCCAGAATGTAGGAAAACTGGCCAACATAAAGGACTTAAAAAAAATGTTGTTGATGGTCAAATTTTATTAATCTCTGTTAAATAGTAACATCGAACTTGACAAAATACCGGTGAGTCAAAAATAACACCAAACAATCTGGAGGGGGGGGCAAGATATTTCTGAAGAGGCCTGGCCCCCTTGTCACCCCCATTAGCTACGCCAATGAAACTTTAGTAATTTTTTATGATTCTAAACTTAGAACAAACTGAACTATTTTGAACTATGAATTTGCTCAATGGAGATTTACGTAAATCCGCACTGAGACCATAAAACGGAAATTATACAGATTTTTTTTTACAGATTTTTGTCAGCAAGATACAGATTAAAAAGATTTTTTGCGATGAAAATACAGATCTACATTCGAAAAATGTGGCATCACTGCCCTCAGCTAATAGCTGAATATTCTCTCTCTGTTTGCTCTAGTAGCTAGGGTCGGTTGTCTGCTCCAAGAGACCTGCGGAGAAGTTAAATTTAATCGATCCTGGGGTGGAAAGAACTCAATCTATTATGCGAAGCATCTGCGAACTAAATACCTATAGGTACCTCGTTAGCCGAGTATATCCTGAGAATCCCAAGTGGTACATAGGGTCAACCTGTAAAAAATCTATATAGGGCGACTTTGCTTTCCTTTTAATTTGGGTCTACACTCATAAAATAAATCACACCAGTGGAAAATATCCATGTGAATTTCACATAACTTTCATGTGATTCCATAATTGGAAATTGCACCACTAAATCACATGAACATTATGTCAGGCGTAACATTTGATAACGGCACAAACACTTTTGTAAACAAAAGTGGTAAGGCCCTTTACACGCGAACCGAAGTACGCCCCCGCAAACCAATACAATTACAGTACTTTTTCGCTAACTGGGCTGTAGTATAGTCGCTATATTCATAGTCTGGCGGATGGAATCTCAGTAACCAATTGAGCTGTCAAACAGCGGAACCAATCTAGCAAATCACGACCAACAACAGAAAAGAGCACATCAGCTATTGCGAACAAAACTTCGGAAACCGTTTATTTGTGACTCAAGGCTCGCCTACGCAAACTACCATCTTTGGGTTGAGGAAAGTTTACCCTTTCCGATGATGCAGGTAATTTGCGTTCGATTGGCGAGGAAAGAATAATCAACGGTTTGTTTATAAAAGTCGCCTTTTCAATTTTTGGTCTCAAATATATTGAATTGGTTCCGCTTTTTGATAGATCGAAATTCTATCCGCCAGACTATGAATAAAGCGACTATAGGCTGTAGCCAGTTAAAAATCAGCCATACGTCAAAAATAGACGTCACATTTAGGTTGACATTTCGTTGGCAAAATTAGTGAGGGGTATTCGAATGGAATATTAAGTGTTAGTATAAATAAACTTGTTTTTTTTTTCATTTCACGCTGAAATCAGGACTTTAATGCGTTTTTAGCGAAAGCGTTAAGTCTTTCTAAACTCGCGAAATTAAATGCTGTGAAAATAACAATATCAAACTTTACAAAAGCTTTTGTGCCGTTATCAAATGTTACGCCTGATGTGTCCAATGAAATCTATATGATTTCTCATATAGAATTTCTTATGCTATGTGATATTCAGATAAAAATCATTATTTTTGTAATTGGAAAAATATTATGTGCGTTTCCTAATAGAAACTAAGTAAAAACTTTTTTCAGTGTAGGACAAGGGGTGATCACTGTATACACTTATTTTGCGCCAACAAAAAATAAATATGTACGTTGTACAAAATACTCAGTAAATAGGTTGCAATAGTCTAAAAGACCAAAATTAACCAAGTTTAAGTATAAACTTTGTTTTGCACCGGTACCCTTGTTACTTGCTTTATCACTTTTGTTCTTTTGCCAATTTAATCCACTTTCTGGTTGTTTTGTGCTTCTCAAATTTAAATTTTTAATATTGCGTTTAAATTCGGAAGACTTTTATATTTTATTAAAAAATTTGGTTTATTTGACCCCATGCTCTCCTATAAATTTTTTCAATAGTTTTTAAAAGGAACAAGCTGACTACTAGAAAACATATTCGCTACTTCTGATAAAAGGTACTGAAAATCAATAAAGTATCATAATGGGGAAAAAAACTACAGAAAATATGGGATTTTTGGCAAAATAGGCTCCAAACATGCACTTATCACAGCGTGCGCCGATTCAAAATATGAAGAATTAATTTCTTGACATTTTCCCCAAAGAAAGTCATATGTTACAATGTGTGGTTTCGGCGGCAGACAATTTCAAGCCTTTTTGTTACAAAAATCCCCACTGTGCGTTGGCAGCATTGGTGCTCAGCACGGAAAACAAGATCGTCGGAAAACAAATCAAGGGAAAAAAGTATTTTGTTAGACTTAAATAAAATTGATAGTTGAAGTAGGCTTCAAGCATTAAGCCTGCAAGATTTTTAATCGGGTGGCCACATTGCCCCATTGGCCATATTGCCCCACTTTCCCCTAATCGTTAGTTCAACGACAGATGAAATTAAATTTACATTTTAACAAGACATTATTAATAGCAAAACTTGAAGAGTTAAGAGGCGAACCAGATAAGGACTGAAAGTCTCTATAATAAAGCAAATGATGAAGAAGAAGTTAAGTTGCTTTAATTTAAAAAAAAACTCTTTGCCTGCATAATGAAAGCTTCATATGATAGTAGACTTATGTCGCGAAAATCAAACGCAAACTTTAATATCGATTTGCTTTCATTTTGTTAAACGTTTTTGTTCGGGAAGCCGCCCACTAAAGTTAAAAGTTCTATATAATGCTAATATAAACATGTAAAGCCATAATCAGCCTTATATTGCTAAAAAAGCACTTATCGGGCTCGGGCTATTGGCGGGTTTGTCGGTTACTTGGGAAGACACTTACCAGTCACCCTCCCATATCCTCCAAAGGAAATATTTGCCTGATTCCTGATCATTTTTCGGATTTCTAGCTTCAATCCTTATTCCACACGCATGCATAACAATAGATAGCACCGAAATTAAACCGCAAACCAGCAAACGAGACCAACCTCCGGACAGTTACAAAAACACACTCCGCAACGCGCCCCCTCGCTCTTCTTTACACTCCCGCCCTTCCCTCTATATCATTTTCATTATTTTCATTTCGCTTTCATTAACTAACATATTGTCAAATTGTTTCAATTTCTGAAACAAGTTTGATGTTATACAGTCGTGCTCGCAGTGAACGAAATCAGAACAGCTCCTCGTCGTCGGCTGCTGCCGGTGGCGGTGGCGCTGGCGGCGGAGGTAGCGGTTCCGGAGGCGGAGGAGGAGGAAGCGCCGGAGCTGCTGCTGGAGGAGGATCTGGAGTAGCCGGTGGCAGCGGCACTGGAGCTGACGGAGGCTCTGGTCGGCAGAGTACCGGTAGTGCCGCCGGTGTGGGAGGTTCCAGCGGAAATGGTGCCAGCGTAACTGGTGGTAGCGTTGGCGGTTCCGCCGGAGGAGTTGGTGGCGGTAGTGGTGCATCTGGCGGTCTGAGCAGTGCCGAACGGGAAGGGTTTGGTCGTTGGCGAGATCGGCAGTACTTTGGACCGCGCCGGTGGTTCCAGAGCGGCCGCGAAGATGGATGGGACAAGGAAAGTGGTAAGTGCAACGTGATAGTACGAGGGGAATCGGAAAGGTTGAACGTGTTCAAAGAGTGGCCGCTGATATTGAGCTTTCACCAGATGGATTTCAATAGTGATCGTCGAGAACCGTCTTTAAACAAATCATTCGTGTACGATGTCCCCCGATACAAATCCGTTATTTATCCGAATCAAGACGGGCATTCACTATGTTTCTAATAGTTAAACTTTACTATTCCCTAGATCCAAAAAAGAAAGACTTCGGATCTGGCTATCCGCTGTGGGTGTCGGACGAACTGGAAGCCTGGCCAGAGAAAGATCAACCCGTCCGGTTTACCGAGATTGCATCGCTCTATTCGGAGTTTATCGGAGTGACCAGCAAGGGCGAACTGCACCAATGGCGCTGGGCCGATGTCGAACCGTACCGAAGTAGTGAATCAACCAATATTTTCCATCCGAAAACGGTTCCATTGAACCTGCTGTGTGAGAAGGTTATCCATATCTCAGCTACTTCAATCCGTTGCTCGGTATCTACGGAGAGTGGGAGAATCGCCACCTGGATGGACGAATTGTTGGGCTACGCTGGAAGCAAGCTGGAACATGTGGCTACGAGCTACCCAGAATTTGCACTCGACAAAATCGTATCCTTGCATACGTGCACCTTATACACGGTAGCTCGAACGGAAAGTGGAGAACTATTCTGGTGGGGCGTACTGCCTTTCGGGCAACGAAAACGCCTATGGGACAAGTATAAAGCGAAAGCCAAGAAACCGGTACGGCCAAGCGTCAACACTCCGGAAGTGACGGTAGGGGCGCAGGTTTGCATGAAAAACAGTCCCATGTATCAACACGGTGCTATCGGATTCACGATCTCGAACGGTGTTCCGAAAGTCGGCCAGCTGCTCAATGCGGCCTGGGATCTGACGAACATATGCCGCTTCAAGCTGCTTTCGATGTCCACACTTTCCCAACAGTTGGGACTGGTGACCGGATCGAGTGCCAGTGTACCGTTGGTCAATATTACTCAAACTGTGGAGAAGGAAAAGCCGCCCAGTTCGAGTGGATCCAGCTCCAAGCAAAGCTCCGGTGGCAGCAATAAGGAGACGGCAGATCGATTGGATATGCCTCCACCACCGTCTCCGGCATCGAGCACTTGCAGTGACACCGGCAGTGTGAGCAATTCCCACAAGCGCCAGAAACGGATGGCACCGAAGGACGATTCGGACACGAAGAAGGATGAGGAACAGTGGTTGCTGAAGTAAGTGCACGGTTTTAATTGTTTGAGAATAATTAATTATTTTGGTTTTTTTTTATCGCAGGGATGTCATATTCGTCGAAGATATCCGCTCGGTACCGATCGGACGCGTACTGAAAGTAGATGGCGACTATGCTGCGGTCAAGTTTCCACCCCTGATACCCGCTGCCAGTGCCGCTGGTACCTCCGGCAGCAGCAGCAAGGACAAGTTTGATGACACCATTGAGGCTTGGCAGGACTGCCGGTTGCTACGGAAGGATGATCTGCAGGTGATCAAATCGGCAACCACTTCCCGGGTGCCGGATTGCTTCCAAAAGATACCTAGAAGAATCGTATTGAATCCACATCTTCCGAGTGGAGAGACCAGTTCCCAGCTGCTAACGATTGCCGTTGATTCCAAGGGCATTCATGCTATTATGAGGACCGGAAGCAAGCTGCACTATTGCCTGTTTAACTTGAACACCGGTCGTCAGGAGCAGGACAGTGTTTTCCCCACGGACATTGCTTCATTTTTGGGAACATCGCCGTCAAATGTATCACTGACGTGCGCTGGCGATTGTTCGGATAGTGTTCTGTTGTTGCGAGATGGCAATAATACCATTTACCCGATGTCGAAGGACTGCGTTGACGCTATTAGGGATCCAAGCTGGTTGGATCTCCCACCGATCAAATGCATTGCTGCTGCTTCGCTGACGCTTCCTTCGGTAGGAGTAAATTTAAAATCGCAAGTGTCGCTTGTAGTGTTGGCTCCCGAACAGCAACAGCTGATGTCAAGGATTTTGCGGTGCGATTTGGAAGGAGTTCGTCACGTACTAGGCCAGTTGGATGGCGAGTTAAAGAGTCAACTGATGTCGGTCATTTCGGAACATACCGACGGAAATAGGAATATCGTACACGCGTGCATCAGTATGTGCTCGCCAACATCGAACAAGGATTCGGATCATGATCCGCTGGCTCAAGGAGGTTCTGGTTCGGGAACCGGTACTAATGCAAACAGTGGCACGGGAGGTTCCGGATCCAATGCTGCCGCACTGGAATGTATTAATGTGATTACCAATACAATGATGGGTAACCGCCCCGTGAGCATCCGAGAAATTATGCGTCGCAGTGTCAATCGAGAAATTGACGCTTCCAATTCCAACAGTGCTCCACTTCCGCCGGGAAGTGAAGAAGCACCAGGTGGATCGCTACCGGTCGTGTATTGGCCACCGGAGTATGACCCTACCAGTGGTGATGAGGATAGTATGAGTGGTTTGAATGCTTCTCAATCGCAGAAAACAATGAATGAAACATACATTTCCGACCCTAACGAACGTCGTGCAAATGCACTCCAGATCGTACAACTACTCTGTGAAAGTCCCGTACTGCAGCCATACTTGAGACAGCTGCTCAGTGCAAAGGACGCTCAAGGGCAGACTCCGTTTATGCTGGCCGTAACATGCCGTGCCTATCAGGCCGGAATTATCGTATTCAACGCTATTTTGAAAATCGCCAATGGGGACTCTACCGTACGAGATTCGATGATCTTCCCCCAGGGAAGTGCTCCAGATCAATCGCCGTTGGGAATCCTTTGTTGCAATGACACCTGTTCCTTTACCTGGACTGGAGCCGATCACATCAACCAGGACATCTTCGAATGCCGCACTTGTGGATTAACGGGATCCCTTTGTTGCTGTACGGAATGCGCCAAGGTTTGTCACAAAGGACATGACTGTAAACTGAAGCGTACATCTCCGACTGCCTATTGTGATTGTTGGGAAAAATGTAAATGTAAGGCATTGATTGCTGGCAACCAAACCAAGAGATACGAACTGCTATGTAAAATAGCCACTGATACCGACCTAGTTACAAGGTTCAACTCCCGAGGCGAGTCTATTCTGCTCTTCCTGATTCAAACCGTAGGTCGTCAGATGGTGGAACAGCGACAATACCGTGCCACTTCACGGGTGCGGAACTCCTCGGGAAGCGCTAGAAAAACTCCCTCGTTGGATACAGAAACTGACATGCCGGAGCATGACTTGGAACCGCCTCGTTTTGCAAGGAAAGCGCTGGATCGCCTGTTGAACGATTGGCCCGCGGTTCGCTCAATGATCATGACTGGTGCCGAACAGGAGAAACCTATCGTTCCGAATCCGAACCTGCCATTTTACGACGATGACAACCAGCAGGTTTATCTGCAGTCGCAGAGCGGAACCACTCTACTGGATAAATTCACACACAGTTTGATCGTTCGGTGCAGCAACGATCCGTTGGAAAAGCTGCTCGTTACGCTGGTTAACGAATTGCAAAACGAAACCATCTCGGGAAGAATGGAGGAAGCTCAGAAAGTGGCACGACGCTTCGTGCGATCCGTGGCCCGTGTCTTCGTCATCTTCAGTATCGAACGTTTCCACAATCCGGAAAAATCGAGAAACTCCACTACGCAAGCGAAGCATTTGCAGGCGTACCGTCGAGTGTTTACCACACTGTTCAAATTTGCCATTGAGGAGTTGATTGAAATTTCCGACGCGTTGATTACACCGGTTCGATTGGGCGTGGTCAAACCAACTGCACCTTTTTCGCTGTCGTCCAACAGTATTGATGTGAGTATGCGGCTTTTTTTCTGCGAGAATAAATTGACAATTGACTTTCTAATTGCAGAGCACGGATGACCTGTTCTCGGTGGAACCGTTGGCTCCTCCAACGAATCGTGCTGCGAACATTGTAGACATTGCTACCGGCAGTTCGCGAGGTGATGTAATTGAGAATGAGCGTAGTTCCAATTCGGGATTTATGTCCCGAATCAATCTCCGTCTACGGGACATTGAAGACAATAATGATACGGATGCGATGGCTCAGGATGATGGGGAGACTTCCGAGCAGGAAGAGATGTCAGAGCGGGAACAGCCACCGCCAAGAAGAAGTTCCAGTGTGCGTGCAGTTTCGAGCGCCGTAGCCATCAATGCGAATGAAGAAGAATCGCAAGATCCACTGCGGAACGAAGAGGCTGCCCAGGGTGAAAGTGATACGGAGTTTAACTTCCATGAGGCGGAAACGGAATCAGATTCCGATGACAACCAAAGTACGCAAGATGCCCAACGAAGCGTTCAGACTGGGGCTACCGCTGGATCCGACACAGGTGAAGGTCTGATTGCTCAAAAGTTTTGTTTTTTAGAAGTAAATTTTGCTACAATTTTTAGGTCACGCGTGGATGTTCGAAAATGAAGACGACTCCGGTGACTCGAGTCAACCGGATGATGAAGGATCTGAAGATGGTGAAAGCGATGATCACTCGCATGAAGACTTTAGCTTGGCAGATGAGCAACTGGAACGTAGACAACCATCTGGCAGTAACCAGCGAACGAATTTGGCACCACAGTCGATGCAATGGGCCATCCGCAGCCGTGAAACGACTGGCCCCGAACGGGTTCGGCTTACCACCGGTGGGTCGAATTTGGTGTTTATTGATCCCAATGCACTTCGGCGAACGACAGCAGCTAGCGCAGCTGTAACCGCTGCCCAACAGCAGGAAGCTCCGACGATGACGACTACGGCCAGTGCGCTGGCACGAGCGTTCGGTATCGTGCTGCGCCAAATATCCGATTTGATTGGAATGTTGCCAACTAGCTTCGCTGGTGCATCGTCGGCGTTGGACGTAACCCACCAGGAGGCTATTCAGTTGCAGGTAAGAATCAATCAACTAGTCAAAACTCAACCATTGTGCTAACCAGTTTCCACAACTTTCACAAACTAGATGTACGTCGAAAAACGACTCAAACCCACCTGGGATTGGATTTTGACCGTTATGGAAGCCACGGAAGCGCAGCTTCGCTTCGGAGCATCACTGACGGATTCGACTGATCCGACGCACCCACTGCATCCGCTGAACACACCGAGCACGACAACCACCAGCAACAACACCAACACCTCCTCGTCCGGTGGAGTGATGGGAGTACTTGGTAAGTATCAATTCACTGATTCCTCATTGTTGTCATCTCACATATCTGCAGAATGCCATACGCTGTTTTTCACTAGTTATGGTCGTAGTTTCTGATGATTTGACATCAAGGTTTCTCAAACGCAAACTTTGTTCTTATAAGCATACACTGATAGGCAAAATAAAGTGCCCACCCCATCATTTTTGAAATTTCTCTCATTTATTTGGTTCAAATTCAAATAAACACACCGTAGTCTGTTTCGATGTCTTACCTTTATTATTCTTTTAAAGTTACACCTATGGAATACTGAAAATATAAAGTTTTACTTGAAGTAAAAGAAAATCAATTTGGATTGAAAAAGAAAACAGTGACAAAAAAAAGTGCCCACTTCAAAAATCGGTATGTTTTCGATAAGTTTCCATCGGAAAACCCCTCGATTGTTTTTGTTTTGAAAGTTTGACATGTATTGAAGCAAACGGGTGGAACTGGTGCATTTGTACACGTGATCGCATTTGAATCAGTTGAAAAAAATGGAGGACGTAGTGATTTCGAAAGCAATTCCCGTGTGTATCCGAAAATTGGTTGTTCGTGATGTGCAAAACGGTGAATCGCACCGGTCTGTCGCTAGGAAGTACAATATCAGCAAAACAGCGGTCGGGAAAATTCTGCAGAAAATGAAATCGTTCGGATCAGTGGTGGATCGCCCTGGCAGAGGCAGGATGCGCAAAACGGATGCGAGAACGGACACCAAGATCATGCGTGAAGTGAAGAAGAACCCGAAGGTAACTGTCCGCGAGATCCAGGAGGCTCTTCAGCTAACAGTTTCCAGTCGAACTGTTCGTCGCCGTCTCGTAGCACAGGGGTTGAACAGCAAAGTTGCTCGGAAGCGCCCATTTATCAGCAAGGCAAACAAAGTCAAACGGCTTAAGTTTGCTAAGGAGCATGCTGATAAGCCCCTAGAGTTCTGGAAAACGGTTCTCTGGACGGACGAATCAAAATTCGAACTGTTCAACCGGAAGCGACGGGTTCGTGTGTGGTGTAGATCGGGTGAGGAGCTTCAGGAGCGCCACATACAAGGCACGGTGAAGCATGGAGGAGGAAATGTGATGGTCTGGGGGTGCTTTTCGTGGGGTGGAGTGGGAAGCCTGGTGAAAATCGACGGGATAATGACGGCAGATTCCTACATCGACATCCTGCGGGAAAATCTGGAAGTTTCGCTGATCCAGACGGGCCTTGAGGAGAAATTCGTATTCCAGCAGGACAACGATCCGAAGCATACTGCCAAGAAGACTAAGTCTTTCTTCCGGTCATGTCGAATTAAACCACTGGAATGGCCTCCACAAAGCCCGGACCTCAACCCCATCGAGAATTTGTGGGCGATTCTCGATGCCAGGGTTGACAAAACTGGTGTTACCAATAAAAATAACTATTTTGAAGCCCTGGAGCGCGCCTGGGAAGAACTAGATCCACAGCACCTGAAGAATCTAGTGGAGAGCATGCCGAAGCGCCTGCAGCTGGTCCTGAAGGCCAAAGGAGGACACATTAACTATTAGGCTGGTATTCTTTTACTTTATTTTATGTTTTCTGGAGTTAAAATGCAGTGGGCACTTTTTTTTGTCACTGTTCTTTTTTACACCCATTTTGATTTTTTTTTCTTCGAGTCAGTCTCTTCTTTTTATCTGGTATTCTATAAGTGAAACTTAAAAAGAATATAAAGAATAAGATATAAAAAATACTACAGTGTATTTACTTTAATTTGAACCAAATAAATGAGAGAAATTCAAAAAATGATGGGGTGGGCACTTTATTTTGCCTATCAGTGTAGCTAAAATTATATCTCGTACCATGCACTGCTACCTTTAAATATTTCTACGACTGGATCATATTAGCTTGTTGCGTTCATTTGCACCTTCAAATGTAACAAATGTGTTTTTCTTACTTTTTCATTTTTATTTCCTTACGTACGTACTTTCAGCAGGCAGTAGAAACCGTGCAACTATCACGACGCTCGGTGGAACAACCGCTCGAAGTCTCGGATTTAGCGATAGCACCACTAACGAGAGAAGTTCGCGCGATGGTAGGTCTCCATTCTGGTTAATCTTTACTGTTTGGGTAAATGAATGTGAAAAGAATTAGCAGCAACCAAAAAAAGGCAGAATCTTTTTCGGGGAAGTGGCCAGTCGGGTAATGTAATCAAAGTCCCCATGCTAAGACACGTCTATTGTATGTTGTTCACATTCTTGCGCTATATAAATCTCATCTGCGTTGGATGGGTCGTCAACCAAACATCCAAATTGTCCATCCAATTATGTGTGTGCTTTGCAAATTGAACTAGTTTCTGGAATCAAACATAATATCCTAACTATATTGATTGATTGTCCCTGATGTCATTGTCCAGATGCACAAAAGTGTGCGGGAGACCGCGGATTGCTTTTTAAGTGTTGTGATACCTTTTTGGTTTTCTTTTTCTTCTTCATTTTTATATATGGACGTTCGACAGACACTATTGATCACATCAAGTGATCCAACATGATACAGACACAAGTAAAAAAACTGAGCTTTCGTTAGCTTTGATCTTGATCTATAAGCTTGATGCTAAATTCAAACCAGACCTCGTAACTCAACGCGAAGTGGGCAAATCTATAACTTCGAAATAAAGTTTAAAATTTACAGAATTGTACATAACACTAAGAACAGCTTCTAACCTAGGTCTGGCGAAGAAGTAACGATTTTCGAACCAATTTGAACTGTCATAATCGAACCAGTTTTTACTATAGTCGTTATATTCATAGTCTGGCGGTTAGAATCTCGGGAACCAATTAAGCTGTCAAATAGCGGAACCAATCGAGCAAATCACGACTAACAACAGAAATGAGCACATCAGCTATTGCGAACAAACGTCGGAAACTATTTTCTCGTGACTCAAGGCTCGCCTACGCAAACTAATACCATCTTCGGGTTGTGGAAAGTTTACCCTTTCCGATGATGCAGGTAATTTGCGTTCGATTGGCGAGGAAAGAATAATCAACGTTTGTTTATAAATGTTGATAGTACCTTTTCATTTGTTGGTCTAAAATATATTGAATTGGTTCCACTTTTTGATAGATCGAAATTCTATCCGCAGCCAGACTATGAATATAGCGACTATAGTTTTTACTGTTATTTAAAAAGTAAACAGATAAGAAGTATTGAAATTTGAGTGAATAGTCCACCTTTTTTTCGGATATAACTTCATTGATTATGGGACAAATACGTATTTTCTGGGATTATCAAATTATTTAGTTAAATTTAGTTGAAATTCTTATCAATTATCTAATCAAATAAAAAAAATATAAACTGGGAAAATCTTGCGTCATCATAGATTTGGTGATGAATCGCACTTTTCAACTTCTGCATGTTTTTCAAGCGATAGGTATGAATGATTTAATCAGCATAGGTTGAATATTTGGCATTCAGGCAAATCGATTGGAACTATGAAAACATTAACCTTTTCATCATTCACCAGTTGGATAGAATCTAAGAAATTTTTGCTCAGCGCAAGGAAATATTGATTGATGCGATCTTCCAGGAAGCAAAATAGCTTCTTTTTTATCGGGGAATTGTAGTTGAAAAACTTTGCATAACATCGCATTTCAACTGGTTACGAGAAACGAAAAAACGAACAACTAGGTACTGCCATAGGGGTAACTCTAAGACTAGTAGGTGCCGAAGAAACGTGCACAACATTTTGGCTCAGCTCGTGTACTATCTTCGGTCCCAAGCTAATCGATGCACCCCTCGAGACATAGGAAAATCCATGAACCCCTCATTTTATCTGTCAAACTTTCATAGCGAATCAAAACAAACATTGTGTAGTACTAGAATTTTGACTAGAATGGGACGATTTGCTTGGGACCAGGACTGTCTTGCATCAACGTAGAGAGAGCAAAGTCAGTGATGAAAAATATTGTATTACTATTTTCGTCGCACTCCAAGCAGCGCATGAAAAATTCCGTATGAAGACAGTCCTCTTTTATTTACGTCGTGAAAAAAACTAGCTCAGTACGTTCTCTCTCTCTTAGATCTGTCGGTTACTCATAGAAGATTAAAAACTGTACGTTTTAGTCAGCCGTTCCGTATTGTTTGACAAAAAAATGATAATCGTTGGAAGCAACACAAAAAACTTAAAATGGGTACAAAACGGATTCGATCAACCAACGTTGAGATTAACAGGCTTGTAACTTTACCACTTGTCTATCAACGCTTTGGAGAGTAGAAAGCCTAAAGGAAAACAAGAAGCGCTCATAGTGTAGTTACTAGTAAGTCTGCTCACATGCACGTTCGACGGTATTTGCTTTTTTTTTGTCCATGCATGATAGAAAAAAGAGAAGTGAAGGTAAAAGATGCGACAGGATTTGTTCAAAGGGATTACTGTCGGCTTCTCTTCGTCAATGACAAAGGATGTATGGAAATGATGGTTTTTGTACCGCGACAATTTATTTTTGGTTTTCGTCAAACGTCACTGACCAAACTGACCGTTACCAACTCTGCTTGGGACCAATAGGCTAGCCAAGTAGTGAGCCAATTTAAAATCGTTTGTTTCTACCGGTTGGTACTGCCGTTACAAGAGAGTCATGTACAGCGTATGTATTGATTTGCTTTGTTTAACTTGACAGAGAGGGGTGATTACGATGTGTCTTCGACGGACCTAGCTTCTAACCATTGACCCATCATTTCTGTTCACCAGGTGCCTCCTCGTCGGATGCAGCATCGAGCCGCCGGGACTTCCTAACCTACTGCTTGTCACTGATGCGTGCCCACAATTCGGAGCACCGTGATTTCCTACCCGTGCTGGATGTGACCGCATTGAGGCATGTTGCCTACGTTCTCGACGCAATTCTCTTCTACATGCGTGCGACCAACGATTGTGATATCGATCGTACTACCACCGGATCCAACGTTTGGGACGATCAGGATGAAAACGAAAACGAAGACGCCGAGGAGGATATTTCCACGTCGATTGTTATGGACACGGACTCGGTAGATGACGATTTGATGCGTCCTTCTCTGGGTCGTCGGCATTCGTTCTTCCAAAGGTCCGATTCAACGCTGTGTCTCGGATGTCCCGCACCAGATCCATTCAATACTCCTCTGGCGGAAGCCTTGCCATTGGCCGATCAACCGCATCTGCTGCAACCCAACGCTCGCCGGGAAGAACTGTTTGGAATGCCTAAGCGTCCCATTACTCTTCCGCCAAACTCACAGCAACCGGGTGAAAGTAACGTAAATCTGGAAGTGCCACCGGTACGTTTGAGTCTGTCTTCGACGATTCGAAACGATGTTTCCAATTCGTCCGTTGGTGGTTCCACATCAACATCCAGCAATGTAGAAACCGTTGCGATGGAAATCTACCAAGACGAAACTTCCCAAGACAATAAACAACCTAGCACCAGTGGAACTGTAGAGATTGCTATTCCGGTCAGTATCTATCAGGATTCGAAACAGCACAAAACGACAATCGTTGTCAACGAAAAAGGAGAAGCGGTTTCACCCATCAAGGAAATTACCGTGGGTTCCGAAGCCGAAGTGGAACCAAAGGCCGGCCCATCTGGTGAACAGTCTCAATCGCCAAAACCCCCACCACCTCCTCCACCGATTGCTACCGCGTCCGGTTCATCCGGTGATATTTACTACAAGAAAAATCGTCTGTTCTATATCAAGAACAGTAAGTACAACGAGGAATCCGATGTGGATGTCGACGAGGTCAGCATTAGTTCGGACGAACCGCAAGATTTGTCGCAATCGTTGATCAAGATCGACGTGGACACGGATCAGGATCACGACGAGCTGTCCGAATCGGACTCGGAAGACTCGCCCCAGCTGATGGTTAAACGACAAAAGTTGGACGACGTATCGATGAACGATGACGGTTCGATAGTCGTTGGTCAGCAGGATGCTTCTGCTTCGTCAATTCGTCCCCCGATAATCGTGACCAGAAGGAAAGTGTCAATCGACGCGGCACAGCAAGGCGCCGGTGGAAGTGGTACGTTGGATGCGTTTGTTGTGTGAGGTTGAATTTATTGAGGGTTTCTTCTGCTTTTTGTTTACAGGATCCGATGCCTCCACGGCTGTTATCACCGGGCAAGGAAGCTCATCTTCGTCGTCGTCGTCAACCGAACAACAGGGAACGATTACGTCCTTCGTGACGTATACAACAACTGGAAATCAGGTGACGGTGTCGACGGGACCCGGTGCCAGTGGTGGCTCACCCGGCAAGAGCGTGATTGTTCGAGCTGGTCCGTCATCGGTACGTTTGTTGTTTTCCCGCTTAAATCTATTACAACTTTGAGTACTCTGATACGGAGACTGCCGTGAAGGGTTATGGGCGTGTTTCTCACTATGATGCTCATAAAGCAAACCATACACTTTCTGATGACCTTGAATGATGAAGTTGCTTCCTCGAGGACAGATACGAAGTGGACAGTGTCTTTCTTTATGAAATATAGCTTATTGCAACAGAAAATATTGATTGCAACATTCGTTCTCTTATTGCAGTCCTTCTCCCCATCGGGTAGTACCAGCACGACCGAGGTGATTCAGCATGCCGAAGCGATGGATCTGCAGGAGATATCCGCCCATGTAACCGTGGAAACGACACCGAATGTTCAGCAAACGGTACAGCCGGAACTTCCACCCCGAGGAATCTATCTTCGCTCGGGAAGCAGTCAAGGTCCGTTAAACTCTTCGATCCTTTCGGATATCCTTCTCGGACGTTGGCGTCTGTCATTGATTCTGTTCGGCCGAGTATTCCTTGAGGATGTAGGCGTAGAACCAGGCAGTGTGATCTACGAGTTGAATGGTTTTCCCGTGAAAGAGGCTAAATTTAGACGATATATGGAGAAGTTGAGGAACGCCCAGCAGAAAGATCTCACATTGTCCAAGATGGAACGCAATAGGGCCGCCCTATTGACGCAAACATTCAAAGAACTGAATACTCACTACAACAACCGAAGGCTGCAATCGCCACTGGCGTTTTCGCGGGTGAAAGTAACCTTCAAGGACGAACCGGGTGAAGGTTCTGGTGTGGCGCGTAGTTTCTACACATCGATTGCGGAAGCACTGTTAGCTAATGAAAAGTTGCCCAATCTGGATGCAGCGCAAACTGGATCGGCCAAGTACACTTCGGTTCCCTTCAACAGTATGCTGCAACGTCACCGTGGTTCTAGTGGCAGTGGTGGAGGCAGTTCTTCTGCTGTCGCTGGAGGAAGCAGTAGTGCTAGTCGGGATTCGAATGTGCGACGAGGGCTTTCCAGCAAACAACCACTTTGGAGACCGAACCGTGAATCTCGCAAAACGCTCAACTACGATGCCCGGCCTTTCCGACCGGCGAGCGAACAGGCACAGGGTTCCGTCGGCGGTGGCGGAGTCGGAGGCAATAATAGTCCACCGTTTTTGCACATAAATGACAGTTTACCGGCCCACCAGCAGCAGCTAGGCGAGCGTCTATACCCGAAGGTACAAGCTCTGTACCCTAACAATGCCCCTAAGATAACCGGAATGCTACTGGATCTTCCGGCGACGCAAATCCTAATGCTACTGGCATCGGAGGAGAGTCTTCGACAGAAAGCCAACGAAGCGCTGGAGATAATCCTCAGCCGACAGCGGCTGGAAATCGATAATCTAAGCGTGGGAGGTCCCGGCGGATCTTCCTCTTCGGTGTCAACTGGCAGTAGTGCGGTGGATCAGCAAGCCGGTAGCAGTTCTGGTTACTCGCAAGCACAGACTTCCGGTTTGTCGAAAAAGAGCGGCCCGGTGCTGATCCTAGAAGACTGTCAACTGGATGCTCCACTGTTTTATTCGCCCGGAAAGCGCGGCTTTTACAGTCCTCGGCAAGGTTACCCCTCGAGCGAGCGACTGAATGCATTTAGGAATGTCGGCAGGTATGGTAGCTGTTGTGGATTAAAGTAGTGAGAGGGTCATTGATTTGCTTTGAAAACTATCTCGTTCACAGATTGATCGGGCTGTGCTTGCTGCAAAATGAACTGTTCCCGTTGTTCCTGCAACGGCACGTGCTCAAGTACATCCTCGGCCGGCAGATTCGCTTCCATGATTTGGCCTTTTTCGATCCGGTCGTGTACGATTCGCTGCGACAGCTGGTCAAGGATTCGCACACCAAGAGTGGCATTAGCATTCTGCAGAGTCTGGAGCTGAACTTTGTGTGAGTATTTGAAGGAAATAATCATCGAGTTTTTTGGCAGTGTAACTACCTACTTATCAATTTCGCGTTTTATGTTTTCTGTTCAACAGTATTGATCTTATCCCAGAGGAAGGTTCGGGCTCGGTCGAAATTGTGCCCGGTGGTCGTGACATCCAGGTGAACGAAACCAATGTGTTCGATTACGTGCGGAAATATGCCGAGTATCGTATGATCAAGACGCAGGAGAAGGCTTTGGATGTAAGTACCTTCCTGATGCGGGGTAAGAATGTTATTCGATTTATTTTGTGAATCGTTTTTTTCTCTCAAAGGCCATACGGTCGGGAGTGTTCGATGTGTTACCGGACACAGCACTGGATCAACTGACGGCGGAAGACTTGAGACTGCTGTTGAATGGCGTCGGAGACATCCACGTTGGTACACTGATCTCATACACTTCGTTCAATGACGAATCGAACGAAAGCAGCGACAAGTTGCTGAAATTTAAACGATGGCTCTGGAGTGTGGTGGAAAAGATGAGCAACCTGGAGCGACAGGATTTGGTACGTTTCAATTTGTTTGATTCGAGACATCTACTGCGGAATCCCCGGCCTGGAAAATTTCAAGTTTTAATCAAAATCGTCTATTGTAGGTCTACTTCTGGACAGGATCGCCAGCCCTGCCAGCCTCCGAAGAAGGTTTCCAACCGATGCCATCGGTAACTATCCGACCGGCGGACGATGCCCATCTCCCGACTGCAAACACCTGCATCTCCCGGTTGTATATCCCGCTCTACTCGAGCAAGGCAGTTCTCAGGCACAAGCTGCTATTGGCGATTAAAACGAAAAACTTTGGATTCGTTTAGATTATGATCACCCTACACATCTACACAAGAGAATGGAGACTCACAAACACACACACACATAGCCTGTACCAAATTGTTGTTTGGACCAGTGATAAAAAGAGAGAAACTAGCGGAACGCAACCAAGCGAAACAACCCCTAAGAAGTGCGCACGATCAATGAAATTGACGAACGAGCTGTATTTCTGTATACAACTTTTCATTCCACTTCTTTTGTATGTACATAGATGTCTTTGGTTAATTGGCGTTTGATTGGAATATAAATGCTTTTTTTTTCGAACTTCGCTTCGCACTTGCGATTTCTTGTGTAAAATAAGCAAAGATTACACCCTTGGTGAATATAGGACGATACTCGGTAACAAAAGAAGGAAATCAAACTGTTCTACCAACCTTGTGTGGAAACCGCAAACACAAGCAAAACAAGCCACGCGTTCACTTAGTTGTTTGGAAGCAAAAGTGAGCTAAAACTCACTGATGTGTCGCGTTTTAATGTGATTGAATCATTTATATATTCGATATAAATGCATCTTTAAGTAAATTTATACATATATTTATCATATACAAAAAATAAACAATACTATTACCCTTTAAGCGCAAAGTAAAGATCTTTAACAAACACAAACAGCAAGCAACAACACGCAGACAACAGTCGTAGATAGAATTAGGTTCAGTTCTAATGTTAACTAGCAAACAATTCAGTACCAGAAGAGGGTGTGCTCAAATTAGCTGCAGCTGAGGAGCATGTTTCGAGAATCTGCCATATGGCCAAATGTGCAGCTTCTAAGAACACGCCGATAATATGATAAAATCAGCCAAACGCAGCCAAGTGTAGTATAAATTTTGTTATCATTCGTTTTGATCGTTCTTTGTCTATTAAGTTTGCGGTAGAGCAAAACAATTTATTTTGTTTGGTTTATTTATGTCTCCCTACTAATACTAAGAATGCTTCATTATTTGTTGAAAGCACGGTTCGCCTTATTATTTTTTTCTTTATTTCGTTTTTGGGAAATAAGTTTGAAACTCAATCCAGTTAGTTGACAGCATCCTCTTCTGAATAGGAAAATATCCCAAAATTTAATACACCACTCACTGCAGCAGCGTAGGCACTACTATATACAGAAACTCTGGAAGATAATAATAATCAAACTGGACATCTCTGTACACACACGCACTACTAAATGGTGTTTAATCGAAAATGATATCAAACTGTTACACTCAAGAATAATTACAATAAGCCAACTGAACTATTAATTCGTAATTTCAAAGAAATACATTTTAAACACATGTAAAATTGAACGAATGTTCACATATGATCCTGGAAAGAATGTCCTCCCATACATCGAAAATAGTTGTTTAGCTTCCATTGAAAACGCACATGATTTTCATCCATAATCAAAATTGATGGAATTCATCTGAATTTCACATAACATTTATGCGATAACATTAATTTTATATGATTTTTCTTATGAATTTCATCGGCCTCATAATATTAATGTGATTTTGTGATGGAATTTGCTGCTATGTGATCACAGGCAAGCTTTGTGAAATTCACATGGATTTCATCCATCATATATGATTTTTTTTTTTTTTTGAGTAGGATTCGGCACAAATTTTTTGTGACACTGCACTTCGTTTGTAATGTCCCAATTTATCTGTGAAAAGATGATCATGCTTCTCGAATAAATCCTTCAACTTCACCTCTGTGCCGGATATTAACCAAGGCCAAACGGATTCCGAATGCTTTCATACAAAAATTTGCTCATTAGAGTGGGACCATTTTCTTCCACTATCGCTACCAAAATCAGGTTCCGTTGTACACTTTTAACTTTTTACCTGAATAAAGCATTAACCTCAATGACGTTTTTTTTTCCAGCCTGATGAATTGCCTAATGACTTCTTCTACAACTTTTGGGGGAAAACATACACCTGCTTCCGAATCAATTCTATGTGCTATTCTGGCAATCATAACTTCTATCTTAAATCCTTTGTCCATTTCATTACTCGTCATTTTGATTATTAATACATTTGACTCACTTAGTCACTTATGTAATTCTTCTCCAGCTTGAATTGGCCATCGTCACTACCGTCGTCCTCTCGATCGCCCTGCTGTTCAACAGTTGCCACGTACAATGTTGGTTGCCACATGCCACTTGAAGATGACCGCTGATGTCCCATCTTGTTACAAACGAGGCACCTTTTCGAGTTGCTGGATCGCTGTTGTTTATCCGACCATCGTGACTGTTGGAGTAATTTCCTGTTCGTTGCCACTCGTGTTGTCTTTCACATCCGAGCACGCTTCTATACCTCATACTTCAACGCTCTCCAAGGTTAGGGTTTCGTTTTCTTTGCACGGTCGAAAGCCTTGTCAGTCACTCACACCGTCCACAAACTTGTTTACCAGGTTATGTTGCATCTTATTACAAAACTTGCAGTTTGGACCCTGCGCTTTGATCAGAGAGCGTATAGGGCATCGTTGTGCCAGGTTGGTCCTGGGACATTTCGAGTATGAGAGAGGGTGATTGCAGTTTCCTCAAAAGTGTCTGAGTAAAATGCAAGTACCTACTCTCAATGATTACCCGTAGCTGCGATAGTGAAGATGTACACCGGGCGTGTTTGCCATACATAAACCTTTTTATTTGATTTTGTGTGGGGATGGGTTTCGGGTGTGGACGGGAATGTGGGTGATAATATTAAGTTTACGTTAGAATACAGTTGAAACATTGAGAAATGTATCGCTTTAATTTGAGAAGTAGGCTTCAATTCGCAACCGATGAACCATTCTGATGGCCCACATTACCGTGGAGGCGCCGTGGGTTGGCAGGGTCCAATATGGGACAGCTTGATGTTTATAAAGTAGGGGTAAGAGGGGCATAGTGAACAGGTGGGACATAGTGAGCATCCCGTGCACCAGTTTGGACTTCCGTCCGTTCGAAACAAATTGGTTGGTAGTATGATCAATATCATAATGATATTGAACCTACTTCCAGTTGATTTATTTCATGCAGCTGGAGATCCAGAGCCGAACTGCGGGATGCTCACTATGCCCCACCTGTTCACTATGCCCCTCCTCCCCCTACTATCAGTTAAAACTGTATTTTTGAGCTTTATCTTTATATATTCTTTGGTGTTTCGTAGCAGATAATCATGTTGGTGTTCGCTGATTCAATAGCATTGAGCTGTCCATAGGTGGGCGTTGTTGAACGTGTGGTATTTGCACAACATTTTATGTGAGTACCCAAGTAACTATATAATCACAAAATAACTTTAAATGTAGGTTCAGAGTGACACAATGTCATTGATATACGATATGGTTAGTTGGGTATTCCGATAAAACTATTACTTTAAAAAAACTAATCCTGGTTGTTCTCTTTTTCGTTTGCATGTAACACTATTTGATATACCTGGACCTGGTCTACGATTCAAAGTTGGCTTCTGTGATGATAAATATCACATAAAAGGTAAAATAGGTAGCATCATCTTCATGGAAATGTAAGTATTATTGAATCATAACAATCGACTCGTATAAGTGATGATTCATTAACATATACATAAACACGGTCCAACAAGGCACCCGATTGAAGCTATTTGGACGAGAGTGGGAATGCCAACTCCCTGTTTCGTGGATAAAGGGCGGGCTCTTCTCCCCACTCATTGGGGCATCTTCCTGTTTGGGGGCTCGTCTTTTTGACCAAGTGTGCGATCATGTTGCTGGAAGGAGATTCTTTATTGTCCCGTAGATGCGTATAGGCAGAGGTTATTAAGCTTGATCAAGACAAACAGAGAAGAGAGCCCACTACTATCGGACCTTAGTCTCCGTACTACCAACCGGTGGAAACTAACGATTAAAAAATTGGCTGACTACAAGCTTGCAAATGCTCATTACAGCTAAAATGATATTTTCGGATTTATGAGCTATGAAATATTTTAATGATATGATATTTTTTAATTTAATGAGGAACGAAGTAGGCTGTGCCGGCGAACGGTCGTGTTTATTTTTGCTGTCAAGATTTTTTCTCGTGATTCCCCGTTCTGAAGTGCTTTTAATGAAGAACAATCCCCAGTTTAGTTTTCGTGAAGTGGATTTTAGTCTGAAATGTTAGTTTCTGCTAAATTGGAACGCCTTTGGATACGGTTGTTTGTTCTCTGTTTTGTGGTGCGTTCGCGTTCATAGTTTTCGGCTGCATTTGCCGGATTAGCGCTAGCGCTCTGCCTCCCGGACGTTTATAAGTGTGTGATTGGTAGTTTTCTCGCTTTCCGGGAAGTTTTAGAATAGAGAAAGAAAACGTGATTCAACATGTTTGCAAGCATCAGAAGAAATGTCGCAATCTGCGTTATTTGATTTTCTCCCGGACCAGAAATTAGTGGCATCGCGAGTGATAATTTTTAATTTCAGTTTATTTACGCGCTGCAAGCTGCGTGAAAGAGTTCGGCACAATCGGTGTTGATGTTGGCTCGCTGCTTGAAACTTTTTTTTGTGTGTTCGAAAGAAATTGATCGAAAGTGTACCAAAAGTGCTTCTGAACGTGTTTCGCAGTTGGGAGTGGTGAAGTTCGTAAATTCACGGTTTATGTTCAGTGAAAATTCCGTATCACAAAATTGCTCAACGAGTTCCCTTTTTTTTGCCGTTTGACGACGACGGGCATGCGAGAGAAAAATAAGCATCGGGAATGTACTCCCGGATGTATTGATTTGGTGAGTTCGTTCCAGTTGAAGATTGTTCTTATACATATCTCGATTGCATTTTCGAGGGGACGTCCGGAGAGCCTTGAGATTTAGGCGTTGTTGCTTTTGCGGGCAGACGAGTTGGTCGCCGGTAAGGTCCAGTAAGTGCTGCCAGCAGATGAATCAAGAGGTATTCGAAACAAAATTGGTAAGAAATGTCCATTCAAATCGTTTTATTACAGTTAAACAAATTTCAAAACTATATACGTGCCAGATTTGGAAATAATATTTTTTTAATCTGGAAGTGTGTTTATGATACCATTATCCATTTGATAAAGGTAGAGTGAACATGCGGGGCTTATTGTAAGTAAAAGTGACCTCGGAGTGGTCGTGAATTACCAGGCATTCTGAAATGGGTCACTGGAGCTGCAATAGAGCTAACACCTTCTAACTCCCGGACTAAACCTGCTTTAATTGAAGGGTAATAAAAAGCAGTTTTCTTCCATAATAACACTGCCGGACAGTGGGGGTTAGATTGTACACACACACACACACACATGAAATATTTTAATGATAATTCTTATTTACAAGATGCAAGTAGAGCAGGTAAAGCATAGAGGTAACTCTAAGACTAGAAGGTCCCGAAGAAACGTGCTCAAATTTTTGGCTCAGCTCTGGTACTCTCTTCGGTCCAAAGCTAATCGATTCACCCCTCGAAACATAGGAAAATCAACTAACCCCTCACTTTATTCTGTCAAACTTTCATAGCGAATCAAAACAAACATTGTGTAGTACTAGAATGAGGTACGTTAATCGTTTGCTTGGGACCAATAGGTTAGTCAAGTAGTGAGCCAATTTAAAATCGTTAGTTTCGTATTGATTGTTGGGTATAGTGTGTGTATGACACCAAGGTTGCAAAGACTCATTTCAGCTAAAATAATGATTTTCGGAATAATAAAACCAAAAGATGGTATGATGGCATGTTTTACTTGTAACTTACAAGAAGAGGTTACAAAGTATGCGTTTGGAACATAAAACCTGTAAATTTTGCTTTCTATGAGGCACAATCAGCGATTTGCTGATCGCTGAGTGAGTGAGTGAGTGAGTGAGTGAGTTTGTGAAAAATCGCTGATTGTGACTCTCATGAAGTGAAATAAACAGGTTTAATATGTCAAACACATTCTTTGCAACCTCTTCTTGTATTCTACCAATTCAAAATTTGATCATGGCATCTAATTATTTCATAATTTAGAAAAACATTGTTTTAGCTGAAATGAGTCTTTGCAACCTTGTATGACACATAAAACCTGTCAATTTTGCTTTCAGAGGGTCACAATAGCGATTAGCTGTAACGATGAGCAACGTGATGAGCGAGCAATCAGCGATCATACCATCGCTAGCTGTAACCTTCTGAAAGCAATATTGACAAATTGTTTATGTCATACACAAGCTTTGCCACCTATTCTTGCTACTTAAAAATAAAAATTGCCATTATAGTATCTCATAGTTTAATAATTACGAAAAATAGCATTTTAGCTGTAATGAGCAATTGCAAGCCTGCTTGACTAGCCTATTTATTGGTCCCAAGCAAATTAACTTTACCCATTCTTACTTTAACTTACGATTACCCTTAC